GGCAAAAAAACCCAACAGCTTTAAGTGCATGTAAACATGTTTATACAGCTCAGGAATAACGGGTTATCAATTTGTCGGTCTGTAGCCGTGTCTAGGAACTCCCCTCTCACACCAATAAATAACGTAGAGTTGGCTTGTAGGCAGTGACTCTGCTGACCACGGCGCTGACACCGCGCCCCTGTGTCCAGTCAGGATGCCAGGATGCTCCTCCTAATAATGTCCGTCCGCCTGCTGATGCTGCTGTTGGGGCTGAGCCTCTGCTGCCTGCACTTCTTCCCAGGCACTTCCGTCTCCGAGTCGCTCATTTCGGCATCAGGGACGTACCCATCGTTCTCGCTGTCAGGCTTCAGCTTGCGTTTCGCCCTGTCCTTTGGGGAAACTCTGCCCACGCCCAGGTAGGGGTAGCCGGAGTTCTGGCGGCAGGTCTCTTCCGCGCTCTCGCCCTGCTGTTGCCTCTCCCCCTTCTTTGGAATTCGGAATCCGCCCCAGTTTTTCACTGGGCTGGTGGGCGTCGTAGGCACTTTAACTACTGTCTGGTTAGAGTTTACTTTGACAAGATCCCCGTTGCATTTAGGCACTATATCCCGCCGCGTGCCAGGCGCTGACCTACCACCGGAGTGGTTCACAGCCCTTTTGTTTTCCGACTGCCTCTGAGAAAGTTCTGTGGGTCTCAGGGGTTTGTGGTTGTGTTTCGAAGGCTTTTCCTTCAGTTCTGCCTTCGCCACCTCGCACTGGGGACGATTGTCTCTTCTTTTTCTGTGGTCGGGTATAACTGTGCCGTTCTTCTGCTGTGCCGATACAATCCGTGTTTCTGCAAAGGTCTTGTCCAACTGGAAGAAGCTCCCTGGAGCCGCGGCACCTTCCCTGTGGCTGGGCTGCCGCAGGGCGGATTTGCCGTCGTTCCCGGAGCTGGTTCTTACTCTGTCTCTCTTGTGTGGCTTTTTCAAAGAGCGGGTCAGGGACGTGCCCATTTGTTTCCTGAAGAACGCCGAATGCCATTTCAAGTCCTCTATCTTGGGGGCGTTGGGGCCCAGCGAAGGACTATTGAACAACACCGGGTTTTCCATTGAGGAGAAGGAGGAAGGCACACCTAAATGTAAGCAAATAAAGTTAAAGGCGAGCAATTCTGTGTCTGGGTAAATACCGCTTTTAAAAGTACCTATTTTAACACTGTTCCTCATGCCTGACGTGTTCTATAGCACAAAGGGGTATTTGATAATGTCTAAAATACAGTTTATTTGTTACCAGATACTTCAAGGATAATCTAGTCAATACAGTAACTTTGAAGTTACTCCTCTTCTGAGGAAAAACCACTGTCACTGAGATGAGGCAGGAAAAAAAAGGTGGTGTTTTAAAACCAGAGTGATACCTTATCACAATTTATTCTTTAAACTGCCAAGTATGATGCAAAGCAGCCCTTGCAAAGGACAAATGCAGAAGCGCTCATCACCACAGCCTTCCAGGTACCATATGGCACCGTACTGTGAGTCACAGCGTCTGGGTCGTGAAGAACTCGTGGCAGGAGAGACCTGCAGCAGCAAGGCGGGGGGACAAGGCTTACCTATTCCTAAAGTGGTGTGTCCACCATCAGAGCTACACCCAGCCTCATTTGGCCTTCCAAGCCAAACACAAGGTGTTAGAGACAACAACTGAGCTCCTGGCTGTCCTTCACAGCTCATGATTAGCCTGCAACAGGACCTGTCAGCACTTGTGCCCCCTGGTGTGACATGAACATGGTAACACTGAAGCATACCTGAAACGCTTTCTTGTTCCAACTGCTTCGTGTAGACATTAAATATCTGCTCTTGAACCTTGCAAACAGATCTCTTCATTTTTTCCCTTCGTGTCACCATGTAAGTGAGGTTACGCACCTAGAAGACACCAAGTGGGTGAGTTTAAGAGCAAGGGCGGGGTCTCTGATGTTGTCAGTCTGCTTCATGGTCACTCAGTTAAAGCGCTCTCCTCCATTTCAGCAAGTGTGCACTGGCTGGAAAGTTCACCTTCTGCAGTGCCCTTGGGGGAACAAGGGCCTGATGGACAGATTAACCCATCAGAGGTAGGAGGGTAACAGCACAGAAATCGCTCTATCAACACCGGAAACGGGTATACATACATCTACCTGCACACATGAACACATGCCTACACACAGGTATTACACATGCACACTGAGGGGAGTGTACATGCACCTGTGGCCGCCCCTACCCGTACACGCAACGACCCGTACGCGCGCCCACGTGCGGGCGCGTGCGCCTCCACCCGTATGCGCCATGACCCATACATGCACCCGCACCCACACGTACGCGCACCCACGTGTGGGCGCGTACACACCCCCGCCCAGAGGCGCATGCGTGTCCACCCGTATGCGCACACCCACGTGTGGGCACATACGCAATGACCCGTACGCGCACCTACCT